TTGTATTGTGCTTAATGAAAGATTGGTAAATGTTAAACCAAATAGAAACGTGAAGTGACACTAAAGTTGAGTGCTTGTTGAAAATAACTTTGAAGCATTCAAGTTGAGGTCAAAAGTTAAAAAACTAAATTAAATAAAATATTGAAAAAACTTATATAATTTAAAGCTTAAACAGTTTTTTTTATCGATCATAGAATTTAATAAAGGAGCATTTCCGATTATTAAAAATGTTCCAGCCATTTTTTTATTCTGTGTTATGTTATAATTTTCTCGATAGTATTCCAGAACTTTGCTGAAGAGCTTTTGAACTTTTTCCCGCTTCTAAAGCGTCTCGACGTCTTCCACTTTTTATCCAGCGATTGTAATTCTAATAAGCCAAGTTGCTCCGTAGCTAACTTGCATTCGCAATCTCTTAACCCTCTTCTGCCCCATCGCTGCACAGAGTCAACTGCAGCTGCTGGCGACAATATGCATGGCACTTATTGCCACTTCAGTTGGCATGCGAACCAGGCTAATAGCAGGGGCCACGCCCCCACCGCAACCCACCGCCCATTGTGTATCTTGCTCACCTTAGAAAAACCGCTCCAGGCACACCTGCAGAGCTTCGAAAAATTTTATTTGCTCAACATGAGGAAAGTTCTGCCCAAGGAGCAACAGAAGCTCAAGCTTCTTGTCGTCCCTCTGACACTTTTTGGGTTTTGTGCAGCACAGAGATCACCCTTCTCCTATTTTTTGTTGTGCACAGCAAGAAAGGATGGTAATATGACTTTAAGTTTTTTAATTTTACATCAAACACAACTTTCAGACTTACCTAGAAGTAGAAAAGACCGTAAGCACTTGCAAAATTAAATTTAAATAAAATTAATAAAGAATCGCCCCCAGATTTTTAAATTTTCCGAGTGTGAAAAGTTGGCGCCTGGAAATCAAGGCTTGTAAATAAAAAAAAAAAGAGTTTAAGAAACCCAAGAAGCATAAAAAACTCGGAGTCAGCGAAAGTAGGAAGCAGAAATTGTGGCCATAACTTGGCGGTGAAAATAAGCAAAGGGGGAAAAAGCAGTCATGTCCAAAAATCTCGGCAGGTGTGGCACACATGCTCACGTGTTGCACCTTTGCAGTTGCACAAGCTGTTTCATTGCCTAGTGCAACGGGCATATTAAATTTACCCCATTCCTAGGGCAGTTGTTTTTGTTGTTTTTGCTGCTCAAGAGCATCATAACCCCAAAGAATCCGCTCGAAATTTATGCACTTGTGGGATTTTTATGCAGCATTTGCCCTCACCTTACCCCCATTTCCCTTGGGGCAACCTCTATTTCTTTGCTTTTTATTTAGTTGTGTACTCATTTTTGTTGCCCGCATAAAAATGATGTGCCACCTTGATATATGAATATGTTTGCCATGCTTTTATTAGATTTATTTTCGCACAGGAGCTTTAATTTGAGAGGGAAAGATATGTAGAGTGTCTCAAGATTTAGTGAGTGGGGCATAAATATATAAAAAGTCGATTAAAACTATTTGTGCTAAAGCAAAAACATTAAAGTGCAATATTCATATACTTAAACGTTGTTCACAGCGTATACATTATATTATTAAATTATACTTAATTTTGCTTAAATTCTTCCTTTGGTTTGGATTAACCGTAGAAGTAAATCCCTTTGGCATTTCTTTGTGATTTTAACGAAAGTTAATTAACTCTCAGTAAACATTTGCCCCTCAGCTTAAACCTTTGAATATTATTACCCGTTTTAATGGTTTGTTACCTCTCAGAAACAGTGTTCCTGCAATTCTGCAATTTCTTGACCCAATTCTCACCACAAACAATGAAAAGTATTTAAATTTAAATATAAACGTGGTCACACAAGTGTGCAGCATATGCGAAAGAAAACAAAGTTCTGTCGCTTAACTGTTGAAATTTTCAACACATTTTTGCACATTTCCTGTTTGCCATTGTTTTTATTGTTCTTGTTGCACTTGCAGCTTGACACAGTTTTCAGTCACACCCATTTATTTACAATGTCAACGAGGAAAAGGCAGGAGGCGAGTGCGAAAACCCTGGCAGGCTGAGCCTTTGTTGGGCTCGGAAAAGCCTCGTATGAAAAGCCCCCTGGCTATGAAATTTGCATGCAATTTTCAGCACAAGGAAAATAGAGGGAGCGAGAGTAAGGTAAAATGGGGTGCAAATAAGCTTAACCACAGCGAAGGGAAAGGGAGTCCAATTGGTTAACGACTGACCTTGTCAAAGGACCTTGAACTGTCCTAACAAAGGATCCAGACATTCCCAATCCCCAAATTCCCACGCCCATTTGCTGTTTCCCAGTAACCGAGTAATTTCTGTGGCTAATTAGTACGCAATTTGGGGGAGGTACCAATTTTGGGGTTGGGTATTAACTACCAATGGAATCTACAGTCCGCACGCGGACGCAGATTGACGCAGAGGTCAATTGAAAGGGGATATATATTTCTTTCAATTATTCCTGAAATATATAATAATTCTTGTATAGATAAATCCCTCATTAAATAACTAGGAATTTTAATATATGTTTTTAACATAATTATAAGCAAAATTATTAACTCAATAATGTAGAAAAAAGGTTACTAGCTATTAAAGTTTTTTAATTAGTTGCCATCAGTAATAGTTTTCTGTAAATGAGTTTTCTCAGTAGAAAAATTCCACTGGGTTAGGTACTTTGTGCTTTATTGAATTTTAATTTGCACTTTGCGGCTTGCGGTCAATAGTGGTCACACCCCTTTTTTGCGCAGCCACGCCTTTTTGCTTGGACTTCCACTTAGGGCATTGCTTCGCTTTGATTTCTTTCGGGCTTTTCCCTCCGCTCTTCTCGCCCTCTCCGAGTTTTCCTGGTGGGCTTCTCGTTTGCCGAAAACCGCAGAGCGTGTGTGAAAATTGAAATGTCACCAGCTCAGTGTCGAGTGTGGAGTTTTTCACCGCCCCCAGAGCTACTGCAATGGCGTGCTTCGCTTTTCTGCTTGTCTGCCGCTGACAGTCATTGACAACCCTGAAGTTCCCCGATAAGGGGCGAGCTTGCAGGGGAAAATCTGGTGGAAATGGACTAGGAAAAGCGGAAGAAAAGGGGCGCAAAGAGAAGGGGAAAATGGCGAGGGTATAGCTGCATTGCACGGATGCAATGTTGCATGCCAGTCTGCACTAAGTGCTGACTCAACGCAATATAAGTTCTTATTTGCCAACAGACTTCACTTAGAGGATTTGTAATGGGGTTTCCCCGATATTTTGTCCTCTACTTGGATTAAAGAAGACTGACTTCTAACTAAACGCAAAACTCAATTACAGCATTAAGAGATGTAGCAGAGAAAACTTATTGCTTACACAATGTTTTAAATAATTTCAAAGTAATAAAAACCCTATAATTGTAATCTATTTCTAGCAACTGAAATTTAATTGATCAAATTATAATGAATTGCTTACTGTTTACTATTAAGGAAAAACTGTTGGCTTATATTGCAGCGCACTATCCTGGAAAATCCCTTCTTGGCTCATTTAAGTTCGTTATGGCCGAACCATATATTTTGGATTTTTTAAGTCAGCCACTTGCATTAGTCCCCGCTCTGAGCCAACTCCCGCTGACTTTCACATTTTCCACTGCTTTTTAGCACAAATCCTTTTTATATCCTTTCTTTTTGAGTTTAAAACGTTTTCGACAGGATTTAGTTGCATGACTTTTTGCTTTTAGCATTTCGCCCGACAAACCTCAAAGCTTCCCCCTCCATTCCCGAATCTCTAAACTAACTGGACTCGAACTGGCCGGGGGGTGGATATCTGTTGTGCAGCTCCTCGATTCCCAGGACCAAACACGTACCCCCGTGGCCGAACGTGCACGGAATTTCCAAATACAAATACTAAACATGGCCGCATTTTTTAGCCAAACTCCCCTGGCTTCCACCACCCGTTCTGTAAATTTCATTTTAGTTTTTTCTTGTATTTTGAATTTTTTTGGGATTGGTTACAATTTGTTTTGTTTGCAGATTCCCGCCTAAAACTATTTTGTTTGAACTGGAAGTTGGTTTTGGTAAAATATTTTTAAAAATATTTCAGCAAAGTAAATCGTTGAGATATAAAAATAGATAGATAGATATATATATATTATGGAATAGCCACCATATATTTTTGATATTGGCATTCTGATTGTTTGTTTTTTTAACTAATTCATTTCTAAAAAGTCTTAAGATGAGATTCCTATTTATCTTCAGTTTGTTATAATTTAAGCATGGATAAAGTTTCAGCAAGCATTGTCTACCTGTGAGAGAAAAATTTGCTTAGTGTCAGTAATAAGTTTTTCGTCTGCGTCGCGTTCCCTTTTTGGTTACCAAGACATGTTGACACTTCGCAGGACAGGTTCAAGTAACCCACTTACAGGAGCAAAGAAAGAGACGGGAGTAGGGATTATGAAAGAGAAGGGACTACTTCTCGCCACCACCACTGGCTCGCTTTTGTTTGCGGTGAAACTTTTGCAGCAGCTTTTGTTAATTCGGTCAATATTTGCAGACGCACGAAAAAAAAGAAAACTCAGCGAAAAACTTTTTGCTGAAGTACAAGAGAGCAACAAAAACAACAAATAAAGGAAAAATAAGAACAGTTCCTATTTAACCCCTTAATAACAGTTGGGTTTAAGTTTTCCCACTGGATATCTGGCAGTTAAAATAAACTTATTGGCAGTTTGTCAGTTACAAAAAATGGGGATATATTTGCCTGAAGCAACAGTTGCAATTTTGTCCACCTGGATCATGCATTATTCATTGAAAACGCAAATTCCGTTACGCGTATTTCATTAAGGTAACCCCAATGGCCCAATAGTTTTTTTCCTGCATGCGGCAAGTGCTTTTGAGTCTTTATGCAAATAGCAACCCATAGCAAATAAAACACAGTAAATGGCGAGAAAAAATGTTGAAATGGTATGAAATTTTTTGGGGACTTCCAGGACTCTACCCCCTTGGCGTTAATTGCGATCCGAGCTGTTTACCCAACTTACCTTCTGTTTAGTTTGGCCTCACGCTCCAGTTCTCCGGTTCTCCGGTTCTCCGGTTCTCTTCTCGATTCCTCCTTTCTGCGCCGGGTTAATTCTGAAACCAACAACAGGGAAAAGTTTTTTTTCGGCGTTAGTTAAATTTGTTGAAAATTATTTGCCTTTCCTGCTGCTGAGGGGAATTCTGGAATGGTCTGGTTTTGCCTTGGTTGCTTCCACGAGAAGCCTTAAGTTAATTAGTTGAATTTGTGTTGAAGAGTTTTTGTGTGAGCTTGGGAATTTTTCCTAGTTTAATTTAGTGGATGCAAAACTTGTGTCTTGCTGGGCAATTGAGAGCAGACAATGGCTTAAGAATGTTGGACGGAATTGGCCCACTGATTTTGGGTCCAGAGAGGTTTGTTTGGGTCAAGGACCAACTTGGAACAAAATTTCACGTAATTAAGCCACGATTTTGGGAAATGGCTTGTTTTGAAATTTAATCGTGGATAAACCAAACACTTAGGCATTTTAGTAACAAAAAATTCTTTTGTGTTTGTTAACAAGTTTTGTATACAACTATTTAGTAATATTGAAGATTTTATTTATTTAACAAGCGTTTATTATTCTCAATAAATATTGAAACAAGAACATAGGAAGTCATTGGAAACGCACTTCGTCATCTGTATTTTGTAAATATTTGCATGTTCACTTATGTATATATTTCCAGCTTGTTCAGAGATATTTGTATTGAACAAAAACCTTATTTATTATCCAAACTTTGTTCCGAAATTTGAAGTTTTTGTTGGTAATTGCGAATTTTTGGGCTTTGGGGAAGATATTTTTATTGAATATAATTTTCCATGTTTCCACAACATTTCCGCCTCAACTTTTGTGAACGAAGCCGAGAAATTTACATAAATCAACTCTCTTGGCCAGCGTTCGCTATCTGTTTACGCTTTTTTCTTGGCTCTTTCCTCTGAGTTTTCTGGCTTGTTTTGTTAGCCAATTTTCAATGTTGGCTTCTGGCTTGCTGGCCACAACAAACAACTGACCATAAATAATCAAATCTTATACACAATCTGCAAACAGATTTTGCGTTTCTAATAAATTTCACTTTGCTAGCACACAGCAAAAAATAAAAACCGAAAAAGGTCCAAGAAGTGGGCGAGCCAAACACTTTTTTGCGCCAACAGACAAAAAAATAATAAATATAAAAACATATATTTATGCCTGGGTAGTCTACAATATATAAGAGATGGCGGGCATAAAAAATATTTATACATATTTATTTATGGTATGCGTATTTATCTATAGTCTGCTTTGTACTTATATTGGAAATAGAGATAGGCCCCAAAAACTATAAAGGAGAAAGAGCCACAACAAATTATGGTTCACTGAGTTTTCTAAAGGTTTTTTCTCTTACTCGTCGGTATCTGCCAACATTTATCTGCCCCTTTGTGTGTCCTTTCTGTCAAGGACACATATACTTGGTGTGAAAATTTGGTTAGAAGTCAATAACATAATAAAAACCTCTGACGTTGAAGGTCGTTGAGAAATGGCTGCGTTAGACACATGAAACCGCAAGGCGGCAAGGCCTGGGGAAAATATATGAAAATTGTCTGGACCATCGCTCTTGAGAACAAAAGCAGAAGCCAGTCGAAATTGAGGTTAAGGGAGTTGCTGCTGGCGAGCAAACTTTCATTGCATAACAATAGGCGCAACGGCCAACCGCAAGCCGCATTTAAATATAAATACCTGCAGCCAGAGCCGCAGGCCAAAACAAAACAAAAAAAGTAGAACCAAAAAAAAAAAACCAGCAGCAACATAAAAAATGGGAGAGCAAGTGAAAAGTTTTCTGCGTTTTCTGGCCATGTAATGAAAGTCGAGGCATTTTCCATCCCGCTTTCCTGGAAAAGTGGCTCGTGGTCGCTGGCACGTGAAAGAAAAAGTGCAGGTGGCTTTCATGCCCAGCTCCTCGTAGTCCACACCCACAGCAGAATAAATAAACTTCAACTTTTTGCTAGCCACAATTTCTGTTTCTGCTTCTTTTTCCCTTTGACCGAGAAAAAAGAAATATCTAAAATTGCGGCAGTGCGAAAGCGTAAAACAACAATAACAAATGGCACAGAAATGGGCTAAAGCGAAATAAGCCACAGAAATGGAAATATATATGTATAAATTTATATTATTTTCAACATTCAAGTGGGTGGAAAAATGCTGTTAAGCTTTAAAAATGTTGGTTGCCTCAAGATGCGAGAGTAATTGAGAACAAATAAATACAAGTGGCCGGCGGAAGGAGGAAAAGTCGAGTAGAAGTGGGAAAAATAAAGATAAAAGCAAACAGGCACAGCTGAATAATGTGGAGAAATCAAACGAAATATGAGAGCATGAGTAATGAAATGAACGCATTTAAGGAAAAATTCTTTAAAAGAAGATAAGAAATAAATCAATGACATTCCACAAAGAAACTTTTGTTTCAATAACGCACTTGGAAAACTCTTAACCTGATTTTATTTTTTCTTTTGCATAATGCTTTTTAAAAAAATGTTTTCAGTTATATTTGTTTAAATCAATGTGATAAGATTTCTGTTGATAACGTAAGAATTTTAGTTAATTTTTATGTTTTATAATAATAATGTTTTATTTTCCCAACTAAAACTGTTTACACAAAAACTAACTTAGTTAAAATCAAATTTTTTTTTGTCAGCAAAATCTTTTCTGGAGGAAAACAAATCAGCAGAAGATCGACTTCGAGCTCTGCTTCCACTTTTACTTCAAAACTTTTGCAGTACAAATTAAAGTTTTATATTTCCTTTAAAAGAAAATCCTAGAAGCAGCTGTCTTCTTCTTGGGTCACCCGATTCTCTTTCGTTTCGCATTTTTTTTAAAGTTTTTCCTTCAATCAAATTAAGTAGAGCAACTTCTGAGAGCCACAGATTTATTTGCATGTTTGCTCTTCTCCAGTTTATCCGATTTCCCATTTTCCTTTCCCATCCTGAAGCTACAGGCTCTGATAAGGTTTACAATTTGCTTGCCATTTGTTTTTCTACTTTTCCCAACTCACACACACACATATAAAAGATAGACTGGAGACTGCTGCTCAATTACATTTTTACACTCACCAATTTTCCTTCGCTTTTCAGTGTTTTTCTTTTCGTTTTATTTACTTTCTTTCCCGAATTTATAGTTGGTTTATTGTTGCCCTCTTTCTATTTCTTCCATTCCGTCTCTATCTTTTTTAGGTGGGTGATGATGCTGACATAAATCTTTGATATATTGCCTTACTGCTGGACCGATAAATTTTCAGCACGACGCTTGACGCTTAGTTTTGTGCATTAAAAAGCTTTCGTTTTCCCTCGCCTGCTGCCTTTTAAAGCTTCTTGGACCCTAAATCAAATCAAAAGCCTGATGTCCCCTTTTTTTCCATTTTTTTGGGGGCGTGTCGTCTGATGGTACAAAAGTCATTATGGAACAAGTGTTGGCCGCTTTCCCAGCGGACACTTGAGCATAATTAATGCGATGCCACACCCACAGCCCGCCGCCAAAACAGGAAATGGCAACCGGAATAGATCCTCCCGTCTAGGGAATTCATTCCCCCACTTTTCGTCGTATTTTTCCCACTCAAATGAGACTCGACGCAATTGTCGCTCCCAAATTAATTTGTATAATTTTACAGTCGCATTCGGATGATGAAGGCAAGTTTGGGGGAAGTTTGGGAAACACAAACGTCGGGCGAGAAACCGAAACTTATTCCCATGGGTTTGAAATCCACGGAGAACTGAAATGGAGTTTGGTGGCAGTAGAACCAGGCAATTATTTTGTAGGCCTAACAGGAAAATGGGAAAAATAAAGTTGGGGGAAATGAATGAGGCAGGTAACTTAGGATACCTAAAAAAAAAACACCTTAAGCCATTTTTTTTTTTTTGTTATTTAAACAAAAATATACTCAGAACTACTCCGAATAATCAATTTTAAACGTGAGTGAGTTGATTAAACTTTATAAAAACGGTTACCGTATTTAAATGGAGCCATTAATTGTGCAAATTAATTACTGAACTGCATTTCATTATCCATCGATTTCAGCAGATTCTCCGCCGTCCACTTTAAACGTGATTAATATTTAATCGGATATGCCAGGCACTTTTAACTATCTCCTGCTCCACTCGACTTATCCTGCCAACCACCTATCAATTGCAATCAAGATGTAAATGGCGTTACTGGGAAAACCGGAGAGAAGATGGCAAAAGGGGCAGCGGATAGAAAGCCGATGTTGCAACACTTGATTGACTTTCACAGCGCATTTATTTTGAAGCCTTCCGGCTGCCGTTGGCCGCAAAGCCAACTTTTCAACGACTTGGCTTAACTTTAAACTGCAGCAATGGCTAAAAATAAAGAAATTCGTGGCTTACACACACTCCTGAAACTTTTGCCCGTGCCGAAAGTAAAGTTTGCCACCCAGAAAAGCAGAAACTGTGGAGAAGGTTGCACTAAGTTATTTAGTGCAGGTCTAGGCACCTGACTATCCATTGAAAAGGAGTTCAGCTTCCCCCCCCACAAAAAAAAAAAAACTAAAAATATATATAACCGCATGGCAATAAAATGTAATTCCCTGTGATTTCGCTTTTGTCTGGTTGCGCTTCTTGCAATTGCAAATTGATAAATACATTTACTGCGGCAAATGGAGTACTTTTATATATTTCTTCTCGTATAGGATGAGCTTGTTTTGCACGAGAAAAAAAATATTTCAGAAAATAAATAGAATGTAAAACGGAATCGTTATTTTTCAAACCCAAAAATTTAAAATTAAAAAAATTAGAACTGAAATAAATCATTGACTTATGATAAAAATCTATTTTTTCTCGAACTCCTTCCTAAGCTTCTAAGCCTTTTTTCTCACTGCAAGTAAAACCTACCAGCTTGATACGTTTAAAGTGTGAGCACGTTTTACCCCCATGATTTGGTATGCTTCAGCGATTTGTTCCGCTGTGGGTGAGTTACACTCTCGCTGAAGGTTTTCCCGATTTTCCGCAGCGCCCTCGACATTTTCCCTTTTTCCCGCTGACCTAATTTACGGCGCTTTCGATCGGGGCGCGACACATGTGGCTTAGTTTCTGTTTC